TCTATCTATCTATCTATCTATCTATCTATCTATCTATCTATCTATCTCTAGCATGATAACCATCATTTGGCTGGCTGGATGTTTGTTATCTATCTGTCTATCAGTTGTAAGAAGAGCTGGTTTTCCCTTAGCTAGAACTTTTTGCTACTCACTTATTATAATCTGACTTTTGCTGTCTTTACTTTTGCTACTAAAAAGAAAAGAAAGTTTTAAGAGTTAGATACTAGAATAAAAACTAGATCTTGCTTTGAAGACTGGGAACCTTTTTGGTTTTTTGAGACAAGACAGGGTTTCTCTATGTATCTCTGGCTATCCTAGAACTCACTCTTTAGACCAGGCTGACTCTGCACTCACAGAGATCCACCTGCCTCTGCCTCCCTGAGTGCTGGGATTAAAGGTGTGCACCACCACCGCCCAACTGGGAAGTTAAACTGTACCAAAGACTTTCATTCAGAACACTGTGACTTGCATGTTGTACAGATATAAATGGACCAAGGATTTTCTAAACTGTAGCGTAAGCAGCCGATTCAAGTTCAGATGCTGAACCAGTCGTCAGGGCTGCCTCATCCGGTTCATCAGCAGACTGGAGCAGCCAGGAGTGGCCTACCCACGCCTCTGCTTGTTCCTGCTGCCTCTGTTGTCATCGTTATTACTGAGCCTAAGATGACAGCATTCATTCTGCACTAGACAATTATCTTAAGAAAGCCCACCAACTTTTAATTTTATTTAAGATTAAAAAAAGGAAGTAAAATATCTTTAAAACTACTTTTAGCTAATTATCATTACCTCATCTTTGGAGGAATGTCTCTTATGTTAACTTGTTTTTTTCTGTATATGCACTTACGGAATGCATGTATACACACATGTGTTTTCATGTGTACATGTGTGTGCATGTGTGTTTTCATGTGTACTTGTGGAAGAATCAGGCTGATTTCTGCAATGTTTTCTTTTTTGGTTGTTGCTTTTGTTTGTTTGTTTGTTTTTGTGTTTGTTTTCCTAGACAGGGTTTCTCTGTGTAGCGTTGGAGCCTGTCCTGGAACTTGCTCTGTAGACCAGGCTGGCCTCGAACTCACAAAGATCGCCTGCCTCTGCCTCCTGAGTGCAAGTGCTAAGATTAAAGGGTGTGCGCCACCACTGCCTGGCTCAGCAATTTTTTGATCCCTGTTTCACATTATTTAGTGAGACAGGGTCTCTTAATCAAACCCAGAGCTTTCCAATAGGGCTAATCTTGTTAGCCAACTGTCTTCTTCTGGGTATCTCTGTCTCCTCCTTCCAAGACTGGAATTATAGGTGACCCTCATGACCAGATAATATTTACAAGGATTCTGGGGATGGGGACTCTAGTCTTGCTTGCATGGCCAGTGTTTTAACTGCTGAGCCACCTCTCCAGCCACTCACGTTACTTTTTTGTCTTTTAATTGATCCATAAGTTTTGTTCATATTTGTGGGGACAGTGTAAGTCAGTGCATGCCCATAGTGTGTAATAATTAATTAGGAGATGAGTGTGAGTCCCTCTGCATGTCACTTCTGTGTGGGGCTCTTCAGACTCGCCTTTATTAGTCTGAAATGTGTGGCAGAGTGTCGCAGGCTGTCATTACTCTATGATGCTGTGCATCACCAGAGCTGACCCCTCTCATTTTCCTGCACCTTGGTACCTTCCTGCATCTTCTTCTCGTATCTTCTTCCTGTATCTTCATACCTGTTATCTAGCCTCTCCTTAGTTTTCCTTTTCTACCCTATCAGTCTCTTGTGAGTATACTTCTATTTTCTTCTTTAGTTTTTGCTCCCTGTTTTCTTTTCGTTTCTTTTCCTTCCAAGACTAAGACAGAGATTTTTCTCCGCAAGCTTATATTGGACACACATGAAGTTTTGATTTGGTCCTTTCTCATAAAATTTCACACTTAGAGGAATTTGCTAGTTCTTTGCTATAATAAACGACTAAGCTAAGTATGATGGCTTACACATGTAACCTTTGCATTCTAAGAGCTGAGTCAGGAGGATTCCTGCAAGGTTGAGTTCAGCCTATTGCCGTTATTATTAGGTTGGGCTGTAATGTAAGACTCTGCTGTATGCAAGTACTAGAGAGCTGGAACCAGCTGCTTTTTCCAGATTGTTCCTTCATTTTGAACAGCTGGACTGCATCCACCTTTTTATACAAATCTTTTCAGAGATATTTAATGATATTTTTTCTTCATATAAGAGTTGACTTAATAGACACAACTAGATAGGAATGCATGTTTAAGGTGGGTTTATCATGGTCATTACCCCTTAACCTAGTTATATGCAATGCATCTGGCAGAAAAATCATCACACGCACACTTAACAGTCCAGTAGTGAAATTAAAATAAGAAAAATTGGGAGGCCAATGACTTCCTCCGAGGTGCTCTGTCCAAGGCTACATAGGGTAAGAAGAAACAGCCTCACTGTGTACAGTGTCTGCAGTGGAGTGGAAGCCAGCCTGGATGCTGGCGTTTGATTTGGAGACAGAATATGTCACAGTGTAGGCAGGAAGAGAGTAACCATAAAAGTATGGCAGTGTAGTGAGCCTGGTGAGCATCCCTTGGGTAGGAAAACAGATGCCTGCTGAGAAGTGGGGAAGTTGGAAGGTGGGAGAGTTCTATGCTGTGTGAGATCTGTCTGGAGTTGGAGTCTCCACTGGTGTCACCATGCAGAAGTCCTGTTTTGTGGAGCAACACCGTAGTGAGGGTTTGAAAGAAAGCTGATTAAGACAGATCAAAGGCTAGAGCTGGGCAGACGAGCTTTAAAAGGGCCCAAGGGGGAAACTTGCTGCTATCTGCTGTGGTTGGTTGGAAACTTAGACAATAATGATGGAAATCAGAATTCAAAGGATAAAAACTGATAAAAATGACATTGTTTTGCATTGTGGAAGTTTTGATTTTGTTTCTCTTTTAAACAAATAACAAGAATATACTGCAGGCTTTATCTTATTTAATAAACATTAATATAATAATCACTAAATATTATATAAGGATATGCAATAGGTATAGTATATTGCTATCTATCAGATGGAAAAGTGGCGTCATACAGAGTTTACTGCAGAGCTGGCAAAGCCTCCAGTCGATGCTGTGACCACTCTGCAATGCTGCCTCACAAAAGAAGTTCACCTAACGTATCACTGAAGGAGGAGGCTCCTAGGGAATACGTGGAATAGCTGTTTCCTTAAGGTGGGCATGGAGCGGCAATTTTCTTTGGCTTCACTGGAAAGGCTGAAAGGATCTTATGTGGAAATGAGCACTGTTTGGAGTTTGGGGGTTTTAAATGTTTCTATAGTACATTCAAGCTGATAAAGAAGTTATTTCCTGGATTGATGTCTTGATGCTGTAAAGTAAATCCTATGAGGAGTCTTTGAAATACAGAAAGTCTTTAGTGGTTATCGCTTCCTAGGACCTAGAGGTGTTAATTATCCCTACGTTACATATTGGGAAGCAAGGCTTAGAAAGATTTCATTTCCTGCCTAGAACATCCTAAGAATGTTAAAGAAAAGGGGATTTCCATGGAAGTCCGTGTAGCTAGGAAACCCAGATTTTATATGCCATATTGTGTAGAGTAAGTTAGGGTGCTTACAGATAATTAGAATATAAAGACCACTTTGAAATCAAGAAAAGAAATGATTGATCTTCCGTGGGACATTATTTCTCAAGTTCAACAAAAACCAAGTCCCTGGGAACCTGTGGAAAACATGGTGGGAAGTAGAAAAGATTAAAGAGACTGAAGAGGCCATCACTCCAAACATGGGAGAAATCTGACTGTGGGTGGGAGCTGCTCCCGAGGAACGACGAGCAACTGCTCCTCCTCATCTGCCTCCTCGTCCTCCTCCTCCTCCTCGTCCTCTTCCTTCTCCTCCTTTTCCTCCTCTTTATCCTCCTTCTTGTTCGCCTTCCCCCCCTCCTCCAGAGGCTTTGATCTAAGAAGCTCTTTGAGGAAAACGGGCCCCTCCACCTGCCACCGGGAGACAGCTCTGTGCTTCCTTGATGATAATTTCCAGTCGAGACCTGACCTGTAGAAGCTCCGTGGAAGATTTATAGGAAGTAGTAACTTTCTCTTTGTTCCAGCGTTTTACTCATACAGTTTATCACTTCAATTTTTTAAAAAGAAAATGATAACAAATCGCTCCTTACATGTGTACCAAGCCTTTAATCCCA